TGTCATTAGCACCTCTAGTAATATATTTACTGAGAAAAATGGTGACGTGTTCAATACTTATTTTACCCGCTGTATATTGTTAAAATTAGAATGTGAAATCCTGGATTTGGTTATTGTTGTTTGACGCCTTTTGTGTCATGTTTGTTGTAGCTCTGATGGCTAATTATTAGCTTTGTGCTAACTTGTAACTTTTTATACTAAAGGTGYAAGCTTGCCTAAATGGCATTTTGCAGTAACTAATGTTATAAATAAAAATGTTTGGTTTAAGTTAAAGAAAATATTGACTTGGTTGATAATTTAGAATCAACTTACTGCCTAATTGTTGTGATGGCAAATTAAAGAGATGGAATATCAAAAATTAAGGCATAAGCATTTAGCTTGTTGGATAAAGAGCCTACACTTATTTTTTTGGATGAGTATAAAACGTTATTGTTTAAAACTTGCATAAAAATATATCTGAATTAAAGTCGACTCCTAAACTTTCTATTGAGAAACTGTGCACACGTCAACCCCTCCAGACGTTTACCTGTATAGTTAGCCTCAAAAGTCGGAGACGACAGCGCCGCAAKGCAGAAGGAAAGGAGAATGGAAGAAGTGGGGAACTCATTTCTAGTAGCAGATCAGGTTGGAAGATGGTTATTTGATGTTATTTATTTATTTTTTAATGATTTTTTAGGCTCTGATATTTCAAATAAATTTGAAACTAAGATTTTGAAAAAAAATTGTGAAACTTGAAAAAAAATCTGAGATCGCACTACATACATCCGCATACCTGCAAAATTATGTACAATCCATACAACTTGACATGTATGACTGCTGGTGTTGCAGTTTATTACTGTATGTTTATTACTTTTTGCACCTCTGCTGTCAAGTTAAATAAAACTGTATTTTAATAGGACTCATAAAGCTCCCCTTCAGAATACAAAGCAAACAAACAGGACATTTTAAAGCCACAAACTGAGCTACATGTAGATTTATTTGTGGTGTGTTTCTTTTCATATTTCATAAAAATATAGTTTTTTTTGTATAAATAAAACAGCAGAAATAACAAAGTTGTAAAAAGTATTAAAGTTAAAACATAAACGCAGCCATGACAAAGGCACTAAAATATGTTAATAAAAACAGCAGGTCGGTTAAAAGGCACCAGAGTTTTGGTAAAGTTCCTGCATACAGTAGAAGTTTAGCACAGACAGACCTTGGCATGATCATAGGTGATATAAACAGCAGGTAAATTATTAAAACAAGACATCTAATAATTCTTTTTGGCTTTGAGTATTRGACATACATTCTGTACAGGTGCTTATAAATAACATTTCAAACATGTCACAGTTTGGTCTCCTTCCCAGTGAACAGAGCTACATCTCATTAAGGGTTTGTTTGAAATCTGTTAGCTCTGCTCTTTTGCACCATCGCGACCTGTTCTCTTGAGATAATCGAAGAGTTGGGTTTAAAAAAAAAGCTTGAATTACAGTTGAGTTTATGTCGGGAAGAGATGCTCTGTTTGTTAAAAGTTGAACTCGTMTGTAAAGAGTCAGGCCTCGTATTTGGAGTCTTCCAAGTCTGAACTGGTCAGATGTTTGTGAGAAGCTGTGTAAAAAGGGAAAAACAGAAATGCAAAGGATTAGATCACCAGCTGATCTTCCYGTCATAAAACGCAAAAAGACAAACACCTTAAAAAGAGAACACATATACTTGTAGCTATGTAATAAGTATGTAATATATAATAAATTAGCATAAAAGACAAAGCTGGTTCCTCATCTTTGAGTATTTTTGGCCTGAGATAAGAATTCCCMGTTTATTTTATGATCTCACACTTTCAGTCTGGATAAAAAGGATGAATAAATATCAGTTAAATCTGACTCGTGCTCCCAACTTGGCAAAAGCATGGTAGGATGAAGAACATTATCACCCTTCTGATCTGCATCCATGAAAATGCTACATTATAAAATGTTTTAGTCATTCATGCTACACACAAATATCTCAAATTTCTGAAGATGCTTAATGGTGGCGATGCAGCAACTACCAGACATCCCCACATTTATCAACAATTATGTCTAAACTGTAAAGAAAACCAGGATAAAAAAAAGATGTTAAAGCTGCTGCCTGTATGTCTTTACGTTCATCACAGTAACCATGTCTCTCACTCTCTGACAGCACTCATAAGTCAAGCAGAGACCTAAGCTTTGTTTACTTTGAAGACTATAAGTTGAACTGAAAATAAATTTGAATCCTAAGTGGCAGAAAACTTATTGTCACTCATCAGTTTTTGTGTCTACAGTGCATTCTGGGTGACTCTGAGGAAGAACGAAATGTCCTACAGCAGTGAGAGACACTGAGTGAAAGAAGACAAAAATCTCTACATATGAATATAGAAACTGTTTAATAAATGAAAGTTTGGCTCAACAAATGCAGAAAGTTTCAAAGTTGGTCACACCAAGCTTCCGTTGTAAAATCTCCAAAAACCTAAACTATAMTTGTGTAAAAAGAACCAGTGCTGAACAAAGATAAAACTATTTCAGTCGTGATTAATCTCATCATTATGCTCACAGTTCAATTATAACTCAAAGATGTTTAGAGCATTTTTAATGTAATGTAAAAAATAAGGTTCAATGCATTTTCAAAAACTTTCCACAAATAAGGCAAAGCTAGCCTGTCTTGCATTTGTTTGTTGATCCCCTGCAGAACCCTCCGTTTGTTACAGTGGGCGATTGGCACCAACGATGTGTTTCGAATTTCTGGAATTCCTCCAGCAAGGCAGTTTATTGTTCTTACAGAGAACTTTACTTGTACCCAGCCCACTGTTGGGAAAAGTTTTACAATAAAAATGCCCATGAAAAAGTCTGATGTGTTTCTGTTCTTGCTGCTCTGATAGGGTTCATGTGAGCGTTACAATAAAGGCTATCATTGGTTCAAACGCTCYATGATAGCCAGCTAAAGCCAGTAGTGACAAAGACCCCCTACCCCCCATGACCACTGGGTTTATCTGTGTGTGTATGTTCATAACCAGTGGGCAAGAGACTTAAAAATAAAGAAAAAACTAACAGCGGTAAAATAATTGTCGCCTTTAAGAGTCGGCTGTGTTAATGCTATAATAATGTGTTAATGTGCCCTGCAGGAAAAAATAAATTTTAAATACATCAATGTCAGTTTAGTCACATGAAGTCRAACTTTCGGCGACCTGTTTAAGCTTTAAACCATGTTTTAATGAAGTATGCCTGAGCTAAAGAGCTGTAAGAAGGGCTGGGTTTTCTCACTCGTTTCACCAAATGTTGATACAACTTAGAGTTTTTTAAAAAGGTCTGGACTCCTGAGTTGTTCAGGAGTAAATGACGTATCTAAACATTGAGGGTTGAATAAAAAAAGCAAACATGAACTCACTGTAAGACAGTGCGTGTACTCACATGTCAGGTCAGACTTCATCGTACTGCTGAGGAACGAGTTGGAGCCTTTGATGGAGGAAGAAAGAGCAGCCAGTCTGAAGCTCCTGGAGGTGGCATCTAACTTCACATCCTGGAACACCGGAGGCCAGCAGGAAGAAAAAAAAAGATTTTAAAAATGAACAGGTTACTGTTTTACTAAATTCTTTTAAGTAATGGTGCAGGCAAACCAGATTGTAACGAATCAGCTTTAAGCTGACATGACATGAAAAGTTTTACCATTCAGATCTGGTCCAGTTCCCCTTGCTTCAGAGACCCAGGAAAAATGGAGTCAAGCTTAGGTCCACTCTAGTTTTTATCAGCAAAGTGAAGCCTGATCTTCCTCTTGATTCCCTTGAGTTATTTATGCTTTTCTTTTCCTCCAGACTAGATTACTGCAGCTCCCTTTACAGTGGAACTGACCGGTCTCTGRTACACCGTCTTCAGCTGATCCTAAATTCTGCTGCTCGTTTGTTAACGGTGACTAGACGATGTGAGCGCCTTACCATGGTATTTCATTCTCTTCACTGGCTGCCTGTTTCTTTTACCATTGTTTTTAAAGTTTTACTCCTGTTTTTTATTTTGAAATTGTCTGGCACCTGTTTACTTTTCTGAGCTCCTACACAGTTAGCATCCTGCAAGAGCTCTGAGATCTGAGATGKTCTTGATGGTTCCTAGGACTCAGCTGGTGACTGAATGGGAAGAGCCTTCTCAGCTGTAGCTCCTAAACTCTGGAACAATCTCTTTCTGTGAGGTTTTTCAGAACACTTAAGGAATTTAAATCTCTTTTAAAGACTTTTCTTTTTGCTTTAGCTTAGAACTCCAGAGAGCACATGCAGTAGTCCAGTCTCTCTCTCTTTTTTTCGGTTTTTATTTTGGAAGTTGGGATTGTTTGCATGCTCTTATACTGGTATTACTGTATTTTTWTTTTGCTGTGCAGCGCTTTGGTTTACTTGGGGTGTGTGAAGTACTATAAAGGGTTGGTTGGTTGACTGACGGACTGAAAGTAMTAAAAACAGTTTGTGACTTAATCTTGTACCTTAGTTAGTTTTTAAAGCTACTTAAAAATAAAGTTTAATCAAACTCGGATTCTTTAGCTATTTTTGTTMAAACATAACCGGACAAAACAGTGCCATTTAATTTGTGTATTAAAGTGTAGTTTTCTTCAGCATACATATTGTTTACTATTATAGTGTTTAAAAAAACAACTTCAAACTACACTGTCAACCAAACAGCAGTTTGTTTGTAATAAAATGTCTTATGTGTGTTTATTAACTCTTTTTAAGGGGTGACTTCATCTGCTGTGAAGGAGCTAATGATGCTAATGATGTGCTAAGTGTGAAGCACATTGGCACAGTTTTAGGGAATGTGTCAAGACAGGGATTTGAAGCATTTTTAAAGGGGACCTATTATGCAAAATTCACTTTTTAAAGGTTTTTTTTTACTCAACTTTGGGTATGTACTTCTTAAAAAAAACAGTCCTAGGACCAAAGAAATGCACCCAGGGGCATATTTACTGTAAGTAAATATATTTTAATGTATATTAATGACAAGTTTTATACTTCTGTCATTTTGTGATGTCCCAAGCCGTACGACAACCCARCGGAACCTGTGCTCAGCCCCTTACCTAGCAACCCCCGGGTGAAGTGCCACCTCCTCAATATAAAAAGCCTTCACAGTTGTTGTTATGTAATGCGCAGCTCAGTTCACAACAAGCCTCCAATAGGGCAATGGGTAGAGTGTTGGACCAGAGAGTGGGAGACAAGGGTTTTAGACTGGCACGGACACTATTTAATTATTTATTTTCGTTCGTTATGAACAGTTTTCTCATGTACCTCTATTGTTTAGCTTATTAAAGCCTTGTTAAAGCCTATTTGTTCGAGTTTCTGAGGTATTTTGACCACTGCTGCTCCCTGCTCTGGTAACAGCATGCAGAGTGAGCGCAGAGCAGAGGAGGGGGAGAAAAAAAAGATGCTGCGACCATGACTCTGACTCAGGGTCTCATGTACAGTATATGGTTGTACAACAGAGCTTCTGCTATTATTAGCCATGGTAACGTAAATGCTGGCTTTGGAGGGCGGAGTTAATGTCAACAGATTTTTGGAGGGCGTTACCAACAGAGCTCATTAACATAAACAGCTCTTCTGAATGGAAGTCAGAGCAGGCAGAACTAGAAAATGGGAAATTTTATTATCTGAGAATTATTTTGTGCATTAAATTGAATGAACATGGTCTGGATAGCCCACAGACATACCATAAAAATTTCTAGGACCCATAATTGGTCTCCTTTAAAATAAACATATATATTTTTGTGCAATACTAATACAAATAAGTATCTTAAAATATTGTGATATTAGTGACAGATCCCATCTTCCACTCGTAATATGATGTGAAACAGGAAAAAAGTCAGTAGACTGTAAAAAGAGGTGCTGGCCTAATCTGACCATCTGAAACATTGGAGAGGAACAAAATTTTATTTTTGAGATGTAGTGTTTCTGTTCCTCTGTGTTAACATGCACCTCAGTCTGTCACCGCACATCCCATCTCAAATGACTAAACACTCTGCTGCTCCCTCTGATCATCCTGCTGCCTCTATTAAAATTAAACCGTAAAACAAGATTCCCTCCATCCATTTTCTTTAAACAAACCTCGAGTGAACGACAGCTATTAAAGCTAATGCAATTGCCACTTATCACTCAACATGGGAGCCATTTGAGCAAAACAAGAAGGTAATCTATAAGAGTAAAACCATTTTAAAGTGACTGTATGACTGTTTAGTGGAGGTTGAGAAACTGCTGATGGCAATCAGCTGTCAACAGTGATGTCTTAATGGCTCCCTCAACTGTTTTACAGCAAAGAACACAAAGGTAGCAATTAACAGCCGCTGTTAATGTACAGGTTAAGTTTCCTTCTCACGCTGACCAACAATAATACTTTACCTCCACAAGGAATTATTCATTTATTCATGCAACACGTTGGGATGTGTGTGGGTGAGCTGGACTCATAAATGTCTCTCAGTAAGACACTCTCCGTCCAAAGAGCTGCTGTTTAAACAAAGCTGTGACATTACAGATGGAAACAACACAAGTGTGCTGCTGTTGAAAAGCAAAGACTCTTGTTAGGAAATGATATGTTCTTTCCCTGGTAGAGAACAGTGCGTTGGTGTGACATACTCTGTACTCTTGGATTCTGTGTTTGGACTCATCCAGCTGGTGCTGCAGGTTCTGGACGATCTCTTTGTATTTAATGTAGCGCTGCTCYACAATCTCCTTCTGCTGTTGGGATTCCTGAACAAACCAAACAGAAGCTGTCAGTGAAACCAACCAAATGTGAAACACAGACATTATTACCCCAGCCTGAAAGTCCTCACATTCCTGCATGGGGGTTGAGTGGTAGTACAGTTCTATGGTACGGCAAAAAAAAAAAATTAGTCATTGTAAAAACCGTAGTTACATCTGTTTACTAGGATTGTTCTTTCTGGAAAACCTTCTGTCGATCCTGCTGTGTACTGATATTTACTGTTTGGGGTTGACAGCAGGAAGCAACTCTGCCTTTTTGATGGCAAAATTACTCTCTTATGAATGTTTTTTAGGTCACTTTATTATAATATAGTGTATTTAGAAGAGATTTCTTAGAATTACATTAGAATTAAGAACAAGTGTGGCATTCTGGTAGAACTTGTTGCTTGGGTGATTGAGGTGGTAAGACGCATCAGAAGAGAACATAAAACTGCAAGGGAAGTTCAGCTTCCCCTAAAATGTCAATAAATAAATAAATAAATAAATAAAAAAGAAGAGAACAAGCAAAAACAGAGCTGACTGAATATGGCGGAGGGTCTGCATGAAGGTGATTAAAATAAAACACCACCTGCTTCTCTTTAAGGAAGGCAAAAACCAATCAAAAATTTGTGACATTGATTCTCTTTGGAAGAGCATTGCATTCACCAAATAAAAAAAATTAGACACCTGATCTCATAATTARGAGATATTATCTCATAATTACCTCCGCCAATGGGCGAGGTAATGTTTTCGGTCGCGTATGTTGGTCTGTCTGTCGGTCGGTCGGCCTGTCTGTGGACATTACTCAAAAACTTGTGGACGGATTGTCATGACATTTACACCACATGTGGATACTGGCACAAGTAACACACCATTAAATTTTGGTGATGTTCTGGATCACGATGCAGATACAGGAATTTTTTTTTCTTTTAAACCTCTCAGATCGGCAAAGCTGTGATGCTTTCACAGGGCTTCTGTTAAAAAACTGACAGCTTTCAGTGTTTGGACTTCAAACTTTATAAAAGTAATGCTAGACGTAATGATGAACAATTCTTGCCATAATGTGCACATTTTTACGCATTTGGTGCACATTTAGACAACGTTTTGTGACCAGGAAGTGCGTGACTGCACCATAAAATCCATTTTTCCRCATTTCCTCAAACACACCACATTGTCGGTAGGCTTGTACACAGATCGATGAAGATTGAGGAAGAGGAGTGARGCAGTGGACTTCAGACTCAGAYGTTGTTTGTTTTTTTGTTCATTTTTATTATTATTTAAATCAGGCCAGATCAAGTCTAGAGCTATTTGTGCGCTCCTCTATCCACCTCTCACCAAACTTTGGAGAAAAAAGAATGCACAGAGCGAGGTTGTGACCACTGTGTGTGTTCCTCACAAAGATAGGAAGACGGTGTGTGTGTCTGTGTGATTACACGCGTGATGAAAACTCTGCTTTTTTGAATCATGTGGCACCGATGCGAAAGCTTTCAACAATAACGTTGGGTGACGAGTCTGACTTTTTTCCTTTTCTTTCCACATTGGACTCCACCGGGAAGAAATCCCGTGCATACTGCCTGCTTAAATTTTCGCTACGTCAGAACTTATTTGGCAAATGTGTTTCCATCTCTCCTTTTGTGCATTAAAACTCTATTACAGGATGGGGGGAAATTAGGCTTGGTGGAGGTTTGCACTCTCTGAGTGCTTCTAGTGATGAGATATTATCTCATAATTACGAGAAAAGATCTCATAATTAACTCAATATTTCCCGATATTTCATACCTAAGAGGAAATAAAAGCATATAAAATGTGATAGTGCCGTCATTGTTTACTTTTCCTGTAATGTAAACCAGCTGACTCTTTAACTTATCTCGTAATTATGAGATCTTATCTCGTAATTATGAGATCTTTTGTCGTAATTATGAGATCCTGACGTCGTAATTATGAAATTAGGAGTCCTAATGTTCTTATTTGGTGAATGCAATGCTCTTCCATAATTCTCCCTTTAACAATATGACGGTTCTAATAAATTACACATTAACCTTCAGACTGCATCACTTCACAACAATCTCAGATGCTATGACGATCACACACTGAACACCACTGATTCATCCGACTCTGTCACTTCTCACTTTTCTCTGTTGTCAGTCACATGACAGTCATTTTTATTTTAGCCAATAAAAAGAGTCCTTTTCCTACGTGGAACGTTTTCTGACGACAGTGTACCAGATGTCATCTGTTAGCAGTGTTTTATTTAGCATTGTCGCAGCCTAGCTGCACCACAAGATATTTTTGAAGCAGCACCATCTGATGCTTTATGAAGACACTGATACAGAGTTGGACTCATYTCACYGAGTCTGGCTCAGCGAGGAGAAAGATCAATATCCAGCAGCGACTGTGGTGTTTAGGAAACATGTCTGAACTCAGTTTTCTGCTCAAGAGGAACATTACATCYTGCAGGTGGTCCTCTTTGAAATCCCAAACTACTAACGTCCTTGTTTTATGAATATTTTGTTTATGTTACATTGTAGATGTTTTCTATTTGTTTATCCTTTAAATCACTTCATGATGCAATAGCAATGACAAAATACTTGTCTTTTGCTACTTTAATTTGAAGAAAAGTAATGTTTTGGAAAATAAATCCTGGTCAAACCCTTATAATGCTCTAATTTACATGCATTAATAAAACATCTTGAGCCCTTTTAAGTAGAAACACACCAAAGTACACATGATCATTTAAAGGCAACATATGCTTTTAAACCCTTGCTTTTCACATATTCAGTTGCGGTCTACATAAAGTGTAACTGCAATGCTTTGGTCAGAATCCCTCTTTATTGTAGCTGCACAGGCCTCTCATTTATCCCTGTTCTGAGGTGCATCTGAGAGCAACTCGTTTTGGTGCTMTCTCTTTAAAAGTAAATGAGGCACTTCAAACCCTGCCTGCCTCCAGGTCAAAGAGCATTCCACTCCAATCTGTTCGGCCATTTTTATAAATTGAATTAAAGATGGCAACAATGGAAGACTAGTATATCCAGTCCTGCATATTGAAGCCAGAGTCTGAGCCAAAGCGACACGACAATGAAGACCACAAACCTGAAGAACCGCAATTTTGTGAAATTGGTCTGTAGCGTTGTTTAGCAGTTCTGCAGCAAATACTGTGATGTTACTGTTCAAAATACATGCATAATATGGAATAGAAAGAACTGAACGGACTGAAAAATATGGCCCAAGCAGAATATGAATATATATATATAC